CCCACCCCCGCCCGCAGGGTGTCTGGCTTGTGCGTGGAGGTCTGAGACAGTCGCTGTTCTGGCAGCTGTTTGCCTGTTTCTTACGGTTTGTTTGTCCTTCTGTCTGCTACACCCCCCACCATTGGTCCCCAGCCCCACTGCATGTTGGCTTTCACTCGGCTGAGGACTTTAAGGGGAAGCTTTAGGAGTTACTCAGTTTAATTAGGACTGCATTCTCCCTAACCGCAGTGCCGAAAACCTCAGCTTTCCCGTCTGGGAGCCAAGTGACAACTAGTGGTGACGGGGAAGGTTGCACTCAAACTCGCTGGACACAGAGCATTTCATTTTCTCTCCTTTTTTGCTGTTGTTTTCTTTCTCTGCGAGGAGGGAGGGAGGTTACTAAGGCTGAGTGCTTGGAAACAATAGTATTATAACCTCAGTGTGTAAAGCCCTGAACTTGGGTGCAGAGTGGATCTATTCAGGAACATACTGGGAAACATTTCCCTTTTGAAACTTTGACTGCCTCTTTCCCCAACCCACCTTTCCAAACTCTGTTAGCTGCAGATCCTGAACTCATGAGCAATCCTCATTTGTTTTGTTCTTTAATTTGTGCTTGTATTTGACTCAACAGCTGAGTTCTCCCATCCACTGTCTCTCAGGTTAAAATTTTCTGCCTGAAGGCTTGGCATTCTTACGTTAGTAGAAGTGAAAAGTGAAAAATCACCTCTTCAAGAAGGATTGAAACAGACAGTCCTTTTGTAAGTGGGTGAATCATACCATCTTCAGAGATGGCTATGAAAAATTCCACTTATATGAATTGAAAAAAATTATTCTTCTTCCATGACGTGCAGGGATCATTAATCTTCCTCATTTTAGATGCCTGCCTCTCATATTTTACTGTGGCATTGGATTAACAGTTATTTGAAAAACCCACTCCAAATTGTTTTTAAAAACAAGTGGTCACCAAATATTATCCTCTCCCAACGTAAAACAGCAAATAATTTTTGTTTTATTACACTTCATAGGAATTGCTGGTTTGACTAATCTCTTGGCTGGTTTATTAAATGAATGACACCTCCCCTTAAATAGTAAGTTTCTGTATTTCAGCCTCTTTTCATGTCTTTCTCCTGAGATGAAGAAAAGGCATGCCCCCTTCTCTGAGACACCCAATGCTAAAGCTTCTAATCTCTAGTTCAAATAATTATTTTGTAGGCCACAGAGTCCTGACCACAGATCAGAATGCAAATAGTCAGAGAGTCAGATAGAATGAAAAAGTACAACAATCCAGGACCTTACGAAACGTATCAAAATGTGGTTACTTTATGGGGGAAAGGGCAGGAAGTATTCTATTAATAATATCAGATCCTTTCTCCCCTGCCTATTTAATAGAACTACAAAATGTATGGAGGTTGGGTACTTTGTAACATTTGTATGCAAATTGATTCTCTGTTTGGTTTACAGGAGACAGAACTGAACCAGAGAGATTAAAGAGCAAATTAATAGAACCAAGCACATCTTTCTCCCCACACACACTCTCTGTTTTTCTTGATGAACAGTATACAGTGCTTGATTTTCCTCTCCCAGACATTGTCTTTCACAAAAGGGAGACTCAGTCTAAAAGGTCTGCATTGTAGTCATTTTGATAAGGTTATGAATCCACTGTGTTAATTCTTCAACTAAGCTGGTGGTGGCCTATCAGCAAGCATCATTCTACATCTCTTTCCCCTACGTGTGTGAATGCACACATGAGCTACAATGGATGTGAAATATAATTCCATGTGTTTATAAGGAAAGAAGAGTTATAACTGTGGAGAGCTGGAAAGGTGGGTGGCACCACTGCACTTTTAAAATATAGGAATGGCTACTTCATTAGAGGAGTAAATGTTGATTTTTGAAACATATTACAGATAATAATTGAACTCAGGAAATCCAGCAATTTTTCAGAGAGATTTTTTAAAAAGTCATGAGGAAGTAAAGTGAGTAGCTTGTATTTGTTCAATTGGTATTTTCATTTCTAACTCACTCATTTTTAAAATTCCAGGCGAAAATACAGAAGCATTATAATGTGAGGACTTACTAGAATGTATGTGGGGGTAAATGGAGGCTGGCAGCTCTCTAGCAGGTTCCATTTGAATAACCCCTTCTTCCCCAGGGGATAGGTGGTGTGTTGGAATGGCCAATCCAATCATCTCAGGCTCTCAGGTACTCCTTAGAATAAGTGATGCCAGCTGCTCACCTTGTTGGGGAAATCAGGGGCTAGGAAAGGCTCTCAATAATAGACATGCTGCATCAGCACATAATCAGTGAAACGGCAATAACAACAGCAAAACAAAACAAAACAAAAAAAATCAAGTGAGTGAGGCAGAAATCCCATATGGTAGCAACACAGAGGAGGAACTAAGGTCTTAGAAAGGGAGACATGGGGTCCTGGAAGACAAAAAACATTGCATGCTCATCAACTGTGTCTTCATAAGTAAGATCGGGTGATTTGGCTGTAGTTCCTGATCTGATATTTTTTAAACCTATGATTCTAAAATTCTGTAATTGGCATTCTGAGAGTCAATAACCTAAATATTTTCCCTTATTTTCAGTTGAGAATGGGGCCGTATATCCAGACTGGTCAAAAATAATAGGCAAATTTTTTTAATGGTAGAAGCACATTTCTTTCAAATGTCCTTTCAAGCCAAAGGGAACTTGGCTTTGATCCCCAGAGCCCTTACAGAGGCTTATGGCTGGGGTAGGCCCAGTATGACCCCAAAATTCTCTTGCCTTCTGAGCAACTCAAACAGACCCATGTTTCTCAAGCTCTGCACTACTGGCACTTTGAACTGGATAATTATTTGTTATGGAAGTTGTCCTGGGCATTGTGGGATGTTTAGCAGCATCCCTGCTGCTAGTAGCACTACCTCCCTGAGTCATGACCATCAAAAAATGTCTCCAGACATTGCCAAATATACATCCTGGGCAGAGGGGAGACAAAATTGTCCAAGGTTTCAAACCACAGTACAGAATGACCAAATTTTTAATCAGCTGCTCCAATGTACTAATTATAATGAGGAGGAAAGTCTAGCTTCCTTGAGAAAATGTCCCCCATGAAATACACAAAGCACCCTGATGAAACAAAAAGGGACCTAGCATGTGCTTGAGAAGGGAATAAAGGCAGGGAGATGAACCAGATCTAATCCCTGGGTGGTTTTCCCAAAAGATGAGCAACTTTTCTTTAATGTGCTACTTCCCTCTTCCATCCCAGTAGGTGCTTCCTTGCACTGGATTTTATACTGAATATGCCACTCAGCTGCTAACAAAGGTCATCAAAACCTTGAAGGGAAAATGTTTCTATCCACATTAGGATCAAAAGGAAAATGACAAATACATTGTTTCATATCTCAGTCCTAAAGAAAAAACCTACCCAGTTGAAAGGTGAATGGGTTTTTCCTTGAGGTAGCCCCTGTGGCTTCTCCATCTCCAGGCTTGTCAAGAAGGGCAGATGACTGTCTTGATTTTTCCCTTCTGGAAAGACAGCTGTACTCTACCTTGAATCTTACCTGCTGCATTTTGGCACTGCAGAACTTGTCTAGGAGTTTCTGACATGGCCCAAGGACTTTTCCCCAACGAATGAAGTCCCTTGGGCAAGTTTGTATAAGCATCGAATTGCCAATTAGTCTGCTCCCTTTATGGGCTTAGGAACCTTAAAAAACAGAAAAGAAAATGTTGTGATTTTGCTCCTGAAGGACAGGTGGGACAGGGACCCTAGGCTGGTAAATGGAGTTATGAATCAGCACATGACTTCTGTATATTTGCCAAACTGGTAATGACCTAAGCAGAGGATATTTAGGAAATTGTTTTCTTTAGATTGCCTTATGAAAGAGGTTATGGCCATGTCCATGGTGCAGTGGAAAGAGAAGTTGGGCTATAAATTGAGAACTCCTGCCTCTAGAGTCAGCTCTGCTTCCATCCCACAGCATGGGCATAACAAGTCTCTCCCTCTAATGCGGACTCAATTTTCTTACCAATCAACTCAAATGACTGAATCTGACACTTCTACGCTCTCTCCAGCCCCTGATAAGATCTTTATCAAAGGCAGGGGTCCATACCCACAAAGCTTCAGGATGAATTGACAGGTGGTGACGCTGCCTTCATTTCTTCACTAGGAACTTGTTTATCATGCGCTTATGTGTTCAGTCTAAAACTAAGCACTCTGCAGAGACAGATGCCACAGTCCCTGTCCTTGCAGAAAGGGGAGACACTGCTCCCTTTAAAGGTACATTAAAATCATTTTTTCATTCTTCAGAGGACCCACAGAGCTCCCCTCCAGGCAGCCTGTGCATGCGTCCTGCGACAGCATCACATTTATGTGGGCGTCATTAACTTTATTTCCTTCATCAGCTGGCAGAAGCCAGCATGATTTTTAAGATGGATGGCACTGTCTCCCTGCCTGGCCATCTTGAAACTATTCTGCAGGTTTGTGTTAAACAAAGAGGCTTTGGCCTAAAGGGAAGGAGACCTAGGATCCAGAATTTAGCTAGTGGCATGACCTTGAGAGGGTTCTAAGACCTTTCTGGTTCTCAGTTTCCTCAGCTGTAAAATGAAGAGATTCGGCCAATCGCGTTCTAAAATCACTTTTAGCCGTGCCAGTTTAGGATATCTTCTCCCGATCTCTTCCATGATAGCACAGCTTTCGTTACAGCTATTGCAGTATATTTCAGCTATTATAAGAAATAGCCACATCAAGGTATAGTCAGGCTCAAAGGTCTGAAAGAATTGAGGACCTCACTAAGCAATTCACTTTTTGGAGAATTATCCTGACCCAGACACGATTATTGACAGATCCTATACAT